CGCTAAAACCAAGCACGTTTGCTGCAGGAGCCAATTCGTGGTTTGTTTTTAGAACGAATGCGTTAGCTCAAGCACCGAACAGCTTGCTCTGACAACTTAATCTTGGTTCTGAAAACAAATTATTAGTTACCTCAACAATTTTTTGATCGATTGTCCCGAAATTAACTAATATTTAGTTCTGACGACTAATTCATTTTTTTCCGTGTAGCGGCGTCTCCTCACCTTGCTCCCCGCCTCCCCGCTCGCCCTCCAGGTAATAGATGTGCAGCGCCGAGCGGGGATCTCAATTGAATATAGCTCTAGTGACACAACTTCTTCCTTTTCTGTTTTTTCTGTAGCTAAACGTTGACGTCAAAAGTCGAAATGACGTCGCTTTTTTGATCGCAGAAGTATCTAAATAAACGTTTATTCGACGTCTAGGTCGACATCATGTCTGAGCTACCACTTAACTAAACCCACCAACTATAGACACAACCACCACTACTAGAGGGCGTTTCATTTTGAGAGGTCAGGTCGTGGATCTTTCGGATGCCCACTTTAAATGAAAGTTTACATCGGGGACATTCCAACGAGACCATCCGTAAGGGTCTCCGACTTCACGAACCATGCGTAAGTAGCGACTTAATACTTTTGTCATTTTTGCGCATTAAACTTCAGTGTCCAATAGTATCTAGAAATCTAGAAAAAAATTACAACAAATATTACTATCAGAGGAGACTTACAGATTATATACTTACAGGTTTGATTAGACACACGCCTTTAGTTTCTGTCTTCTTAAAAAACTGCTCGTAAAATCCAGGTATATTTTCTCTAAGAGTCGTGCATGCCTTGTCTTTAACATGCCCGACAAAGGAGTTTTCCTTCAATTGGTTATTTGACCAAACGGCCATCATTATTTTTAGCTGATACAACAAAGGTGGTAAACATAAATGAAATCGTTTTCTAAATATCCCGCCTTTTATCATGGATTACAACCGATTTTAGGTACTCTGGACCATTTATTACATACCCATACGCTATCATCAATGGGTAGATTCACACCCGTCATATTCCCAGTCAGTAGTTGTAGTTCTGTTGGTTTTTGTGGATTGAAGTGACTGGCACGCAGGAACCATCTCCACGGAAGCGGCCGGTCAGGTTCCTCACACATGTAAAAGCGTTCGGCGAAGGCAATCCAAGGGCCCTGCACACCCGGAGGGACGCGAAACAAACCGTTCACCACAGATCACCAAGGAAAATGTTACGGCCATGGCACTGTTGACATCGCACTTCAGAACTACCCAATAAAGGTGTTCCGTACCGCGAAAGAGTGGAAGGACTTGCCGAGGACTCCTGCTTGGCTGGCGAGAAGCGCCAAAACGAACGGTAGCCTGGACCACCGGAGGTCCATGGTAGTGGACTGGAGGTCTTTGTCCTCGGCCCGCTCCTAACTCTTGGTATTAGCTCGAACCTTTGCTATGGCCCATGCACTGTGGTAGTGCGCAGCCAGCACTAGTGCTGCTGGTGCCTGGCGTGCAAGTACAGGATCGGAGCAGGGTTCGTTTTGACTTTCGCCTCGCGTGAGGTTGCAGTATCGAGTAACTGTTGCACGATCCCCCACCTCCCGTCCCGTGTCGGCACTACAGAAGGGAACAATTCTAAACAACTTAATTTAGACGGAATAGCAAAATATTTCAGTTTCGCATCCTTTAATTTGTTCTAGGAAAGTGAAGTGCGGACTAGAATTCTTGACTTCGTATCATCTGGTTTCACGATTCGTTACTCTGAACGGGACCATTTTCAATTCCTTTCATCGGACACAACAAACATACTTTCCGGTAGTCTGCTTTATTTTAACGGATTTAGCTTGGACTATTCACAACCCGACACAAGACTTTTTCACAGCATGCATAAGGCCTCAACTCCACAAGGACGGCTCGCTGGTGCCATCGCACTTGAGGGTGCATCATATTGAATATAATATTTAAAGTACGCCCTTAGATAAGGCATGATTGGCGCAACAGGAGAGTGCGTGGCGCTTCAACAGTATCGTCCACGAAGTACGTCCGTTTTTCTCAGATTTATTCGGCAAACTATATGAGCTTGGCGCCTGTGAGACTCGGGGTAGGCCACTCCGCAATACACACATGCACGCCAAGCAAGATATTGCCTACCCACCAGGCACTATGAAAGCTTGCGTAGGCTGCACCTCGCAGTCCAGTTATAACGGACGTACTTTCTGGGCGATCCCTTATGCACTCCGTACTCCCTACTCGCCCTACTAGGCTGCCCCGCCATTTAAGATGGCACTTTAAGTCAGAAGCGGCGGTAACAAAGGGAAAAGGGGCGACACATTTGTTGAAAAACAACTATTTTGTTTTAATAAGGTGGAAAATTTCTCGTCAATATGGCAAGAAAATTCGTTCCTACATAAAAAAATTCTGTCGAATAACAATTGGTGTGCGACATGATAACATTGGTTTGTTTCCCAAACAAAAAATGTTGTACTTTTACAGTAAAAGATTGTTGGACAAGAAAGATCGTTGTACAACAACATCATTCCTTACAAAGATTACCGAGAAATTTGCCACTAATTCACAACTTTATTTCTAACATTGTGAAGTGTTCTAGGCAAGTTTAGGCATTACTTTTACATCTGCTACTAAACACTGGTGGTGTTTGTCTTTCTTGCCAGCTAAAATCTTTTGCCTATAGATTCCATACAGCATGATTGGAAATTTTGGATAGGTCCAATTTACCGGAGCGTTTTTGACCACGTAAACTCCCTGTAAATAGAAGTGATCGATCTCATTATTACATTCTTTAAAATTAGTTTGTGTTTGAGGTCGCCGGCCCGGCTCGCAGCGCGTTGCACTGATTGGACGCTAACGGTCAAGATATTCGTGGGGGCATCTGCTTCTTCCTTTCCTCTTATTTCATGACGAATTGCTTGTGGCACAATCGCAGAGGATGCGTTAGCTAAAACTACTTATTACGGACAACACCTTTGTATTCATCTGTAACTTGTAACTTCAATCTCTAGTCTACAATAATATCAAGAAAAAAACACTTGAAAATTAATTACTCACAGGTTTGATTATACACACGCCTTTAGTTTCTGTCTTCTTAAAAAACAGCTCGTAAAATCCAGGTATATTTTCTTTAATAGTCGTACATCCCTTGTCTTTAAATTGTAAGACAAAAGAGTTATCCTTCCATTGGTTATTTGACCAAACAGCCAACACAATTCTCATCTAACACAACAAAGATGGTATAGATAATTGTAGTTGTTTCTCATATCCATAATCTGTTTTACTATTTATAACAAGCCATGTCTTACCCATGCGCTATCGTCAAGAGAAACATTTGCGATCGTCATGTTACCAGTCAGTAGTTGAAGTTCTCCAGGTTTTTGCGGATTGAAGTGAGTGCCACGCAAAAACCATCTCCACGAGAGCGGCTGATTAGGTTCTTCGCACATGAAAAAGCGGTCGACGGTAGCAGTCCAAGGGCCCTTTACACGAGAGACGCACACAAATAGATCGCAAGGATTCTGACAGCATGCATTTCTTTTTTCTTTCCTTTTTTGCAATACGAAGTAACTTGTTTAAATACAAAAGCTCAAAAATTCTGCGCAACGTTGTAAAGTATACTGTGTGCGAACAGTTTACAGTGACCGTTTACCATGGATCGCCAAAGGAATGTAACGGCGAATAAGTGGCGCTGTTGACAACTTACTCAAAATTTTAAATAGACACTCGATAAAGGTACTTCTCCAAACATACTGCGAAAGAGTGAAAGGATTTGCCAAGAACGCCCGTCTGGCGTGCGAGCAGGGCCACCAGGACGAACGGCAGCCTGGACCACCGGAAGGCCATGACAGTGGAGTGGAGGTCCTGTCCACGGCCCGCTCCTGGCACTTGGTGTTACATCAGACCTTTGTGCCACGGCCCGTGCGCTGAGGTCTAG